TGTTCAGCCGGCTGTCGACCAGCACCCCCAGGTCCTTTTCTGCCAGGCAGCTTTCCAGCCACTCTTCCCCAAGCCTGTAGCACTGCATGTATAGTTACATTTACCACCGTTACAGATACTTATCCTTGTTAGTTCAAATTGCAGGATGCTTTGAAAGTAGTAGGATTACTGGAACATTGCTCTGACACATACGGCTTTTGTATGGCACTGAGTATGTAGTTGTTTTTAACCTTTCTCCATGTTTACCATTTTGGGCAGGAAAAATTCCACCTGAGAGCACGCTGATTTTCAACATTGACCTTCTGGAAATTAGGAATGGACCAAGGTCTCATGAGTCATTCCAAGAGATGGATCTTAACGATGACTGGAAACTGTCCAAGCAAGAGGTGAGTAGGTTACCCTTCTTGTGAGCAAACCTAACAGGATGAGATAGTGGAAAGGGAAAGATAAGCTTAACTTGATCCTGTTAGGGAAGTATCTAAACACAAGTTAGATTTTAGCTACTACTGTGCAGAGAGCAACCCTGCAAGCAGAATACACACTATTTAAGAGCAGTTAAAGCAATTATTTATTGGGCAATGTGCAGTATGGGTAACTAGGACTAATGAGTTGTTAGCATAACTACTGAACTGATATGCTCATCATGAATGGTAAGACACCCAAAAAGTTGCTGCTGGCCAGGTGGTGGTTAGTCATGTGGGGAAGGGTGAGTCTCTGTTCTTCCCTGGAGATGAGAAGAGCTCAGCCTAGAGAAGAGAAGGCTTCAGGGAGACTTTATTGCAGCCTATCAGTACTTAAAGGGGGCTTATAAAAAAGATGGCGGCAAACTTTTTAGCAGGGCCTGTTGCGACAGGACAAGGGGGAATGGCTTTAAACTAAAGGGGGGTAGATTTAGACTAGATATAAGGAAGAAATTTTTTACGCTGAGGATGGTGAAACACTGGCACAGGTTGCCCAGATCTGAGCGACCTGATTTAGTGGACGATGTCCCTGCCTACAGCAGGGGGGTTGGACAAGATGACCTTTAGAGGTCCCTTCCAACCCAAACTATTCTATGATTCTATGACTTTCAATGTTGCTGCCTTCCAATTCTCTGCTTTTTTTGCCTTTGGAGTTTTATGCCTTTTTGTGTTGGTATCTTCCCTGCTGAATGCTCTTGAACTGGCTCAACAATTAAGCTCTTGTCTGTGCTTTGCCTTTCTTGCATGGCTTCAGCTCATATACTTTCTTAGACCTCAACAATAGATTTTTTTTCAGTAAAACTAAGCCAAGGGTGCACATCTATGCTGCACCACACTGAGCCTTGGATCCCAGTGGAACTGCTGGACTGGGGGTTCAAAAGCAGCCTCAGTAAGCTGAGGCATAGGCATGTGACCAGTGTGTGCCCCACACTTATGGGAGACTGGGATAAAGTAAAACATCTTAGAAATAAAACCAGACTTGGGCTTTTTGGAGTTAGTTGCTGATTTACTAATAAACTGGAATTAGAAATTCTTCTGCTGTAGAAGAATGCTTCTTCATAGCATTCACTGTCTGAAGGACATGAATTCAGCATTATTCACCTTCTGTTTGCCTCTTATTTTTAGTCTTCTGCTTTTCTGATGTGCAAAAGTCATCCATGAGAAGTTAGGATAAACCACCGCATTCTTTTTGATTTGGGGCTGGTACAGTTTGCTAGATGCAAAAGACTATTCTTTTGTACTGTGCATCAGACAGACAGTGTCAGTGTCTGTGTATTAAAAATATAAGCAATGAACCTAACAAATACCAGAATGTGAAATGAATAAAACAGACCTGAAACATGGCCCACTTATCTTGCTGCTAATAGTCCACTGTTACAGTTCTTGTTACGTAAGTGGTATCTGTTTAACAGGTGGGTATGTTGGTATTGATATTCTTGTAGAAGGCGCTGCAATTTAGAACACTTAGGATCTCAATAGTTAAAACATTAAACTCAGTAAAAATAATCTGATATTGATTAAAACACTGCTCACCATTAGTAACTAGCTTAGTGTAAATAACTGTTCCAGTAGCCTGTTTAAAAGCTACCTTGAATCTTTGTCCTTCAGAATTTTGAGATGTCTAGAAATAAATCTTTATTAATGTAATTCCCATTAGAGCAGCAAATGCTGAGGTTGTGGACACATTTCTGTATATATTTGGGGCGGCTGTTTACATCTACTGGTTTGTCAAATCGCTAGGATGTGAAAAAGCTGTTTGGGTCTCTGACCAATTGGTAGCTAATAACTTCTGCCTAGCTATTTATACTGTACTGTATAGACATCAGATGATAGGTTTCCCTGGCTCATTTTTCAGTCAGATACTATAAAGGTAGGGCAACTGACTTGCTAGTTTTACTGTTGCTTATATAACTAAAGAGTCTTTCATCACTGTACGAGGCCGCAGAATCAGACAAGTATTATTGTGGCAGTGGGTATTATATAACTAAAGAGTCTTTCATCACTGTACGAGGCTGCAGAATCGCAGTGGCATAGGAAGGTATCTATTGTCTAATACGACCATCCTGAACATAGTGGCCCTCTCTTACGCTACAGTAATCAATTCTTTCATAAGCCTAAAAACATTAACTCTCACTTTTGTCTAATAGGTGAAAATTTACTTGAAGAAAGAATTTGAAAAGCATGGAGCAGTGGTAAATGACACCCAGCATGATGCTTTGGTTGAAGATATATTTGACAAAGAAGATGAAGACAGTGATGGGTTTATATCTGCAAGGGAATTTACATACAAGCATGATGAGCTGTAGAAAAGGGTGGCATAATTTTTTTGACACAAATGGCAGTGACTTAGACTGTCTGGTTCTCTTGTCATCTTAATTCTGTGTTTTGGAGTTGACAGCTGCTGTTGGCAAAGAAACACTCTTTGTTTATATAAAAGAGAATTTCTGTTCATTATGTACAAATGTTTTAAACTATTTTAAAGTATGAAAATGTACCTCCTTTTATGCAGCAAAGACTTGCACATCAGTGTTTTTTTAAATTTTGTATTAACTTATTTTTCAGAAATGAAACAAACTTTCCAGTTATCAAACATCGTGAAAATCAAAATCTGGTTCAGTGCCTTTCTGTGATTTGTTTGTGTGTTAAGATCACTTTCAGCAACTCCTTTATGTGTAACTTCTAGTCTGTGGCTTAATTACTTGACCTTCCTTCTTGTGTGTCACTGCTTGAAAAGCAGTGTGCTGACCTTGCTTTTTTTCCTGCAGATTTTTAAAAGATGTGCTAGAAGGCATCAGCATCTCTTTATACAGCTGAAAAACTGATACAAAGCTGAATGAGAAGAATGACTACCCTGTGCTGATTTTGCCCTTCTAAAGGGAGAGTGTTACCAACCATGCCAATAATTGTCTGCATTTTTCTTTAAATGATGTGACCAAAGTAGTTTATTGTCAGACTTTCACTTTTAATGTCAGCAACATTCTAGGAAATGTCTGTAATTTGGAAAATACAAGTTATGCTGCAGTGCAGAAGTGGTGTCCTTTACACGTAAACACACGGTTGTTTTGAAACTTGGAGCTTGCATTCATGAAGAAAGATCATACCTTTCTCCTTCCAAGTTTTGAGGGAGATCTTGGGCAAAATGTTACAAGTCTGACGTTTTTACCATTTGCAGAAGGAAAAGAGCATACCGACAGGAGGATCAGTATGGCCTGAAGAAGAATTTGCATTGGCCTGCCTGCTTTGCTACTGTCCTTTTGCAGTATTTTCAAAAGTAGCACACAAGTGATCTGAATTTTAAATAATAAAGTGACTTTTTTAGAAAAGTAGAGGCATGAGGTAAATGTTATGGTGCTGTGTCTTTACAGAGATGGAGACCATGAGGATTTCAATTCTTACTTTGTGTTCGTTTGAACTGTTTCTGGAGAGGAAGAAACATGTAGCAATTGTCTGTGGGCTCTTAAATGAGGGCAAGGTATCTCAGGGAAGGAATTAGCCTGTATTCTGGCATCACTAGCATGGGTCTCTGAACACAGTATTTTACTTGAAAAAAGTTGCTCCAGGCTATGTAGGAACACAAAGCAAATCCAGTTGTATGAAACTGAGATTGCTGCATTGTACTAATCCTTAACTATTGCCAAGTGAGACTCTATGTTCAAGGTTCTCAATGCTGTAGATGAGCTAGATGTTTTCCCTGCCACCTAGTGTTGTAGTAAGTATTAGAAGACTACCCTGTTAAACAGAGTTCAGCTGCGTATGAACATTACAGATTGCTGTCGATAGCAACTGTTTTGGGGGGAAAAAAGTATAAGTGAAGGTATGCAGTGGTGGGGGTTTTTGTTTTGTGTATTTTTTTTCCTTCCAGGATCTGACATTTTGTGGCTGATGGCCTACGTTGATACGGAATTGTGGCCACATATTTTGATTTCAGTAACCTTTAGGTCTTTTTCCTCAGTGATGCCATCTAGTTTTCTTGAACCTATTTATACTTTTGCTTCCATAATGTTCTACAGCATTAAGTTTCACAGTAGAATAGTGTAAGAAAATATTTCCCTTTGTTTTTAGGCTTGTTACCTGTCCTGATTCTTGCATTGTGAGGAAATAATGAGTAATCATTACCTATCTAGCTCTTCTTACCGGTCATGGTTTTGCATATTGGTATTTTTTTCTCATCACTTATGAAAATTAAGCTTGCCTGACTTCAGCTCTCCCAAGGTTGCTTGCATGTTCTGTGCTGGGTGTGTTGATTTCCCCTGCAGTCACCAGAGCAGTAGGCACTTGGGGGCAACTCGGCACATTTATGTTGTTCATGTTGTATTGGGATAGATGCCTTATCAAATAAGTTTCCCCTCTTTCTCCATTGACTACATGGGGAGCCTAGGCAATTAGCATAGCCTAGGCCAAGAAGGGCTAATAGGATATGAAGTTGACCCTTAAGGCAATCTTGCCGGGGACGTGGGAACTGGCAGATACTCAGCCAACCAAATGGGAAATACTGTTTGTGTGTGCGCTGCTGGGAAGAGCAGAACTGAGTCTTGCATTGGGTCTGTCAGGGTTTTAGATGTTTGTTTGCAGTGTTTAGCATGTTCTCTGAAAATCTGGCGGGGGAATGAAAGCATAAAAGCATGAAATAAAACTTGGCCCAGATTACTGACCAAATATACAAAAAGTTACGCTTAAATAATGGGGTGCCAGTGTATGCCTTCAGTAAGGGCCAACTGTTGTTTCATTTGTATTAAACAGGAGTTTGGAGTCAGTGAATGCTGTGAAATGTACATATGCATTATCTTCTACCTGGATTTTTAAAGCATTTCATAAAAATAACTTTCAGTGAACATGTACTGTAGTTAATTTGTTAATGCCAGTACAGTATTAAAGCTGCAGGACCAATATGCTTTATTTGGTGTTGTGTGTAGGTTTATGCCAGATGAGTGGATGGTTTTTGTTCTTGGCGCTTTTCTTGGTAGCTGTGTTTAAATTTCTGAAATTGAACTGAAAAAAACTTTCAAAAGTGCAGAATCAGCAGCAGATGTGAGAAGCCACTTCAACTTTATTATCGTTTGCTATCATTGAAGTCCTTCTGTGAAGATGAAGGGATTTCTTGGGTAGAAATAGCACTGCCTGTCTTAAGCAGATGCGATTGAGGTTGTTAGTCCACAGGGCATACTGCTGCAGTCCCAGCAGAAGCCAGCTAGCTGAACAGAGGCAGGCAGCTGCCTGCCCTCCAAGGGGAGAAGGAATATTGGAACTTCAGTGGCACTCGGCAGCATTTTGCCTGGCTTACGCGTGAAGTGCAAGGTGTATTTCCTGTGAAGACACAAACCCTCGCTGCTTGTCTGTGAAATGCAGCACCTGAAAAAGTGGAGAGGGCTCAAAACGTTGTGAGCGCGTACTAGATCGCTCCTCCTGCAGCTTCTAGCTGCCTTCATGCATTTCCGTCGGTGTTTTGTGGTTATATAGGAAAATGTTTAGAACGGCAGCCTGTCATTCAGAGCCACTACCCAGCAATTACAGGAAGTTGCTTCTTTTTTTTGTGTTTATATAGGAAAATTTTTTTTAGAACGGCAGCCTGTCATTCAGAGCCACTACCCAGCAATTACAGTGGAAGTTGCTGCCTTCTGTAGGTACAGAAGCAGCCTTCGGAGCTCGCTTTATTTGAAAATTCTTGATATGCAATGCAGTGACACAAGAAAGCTTTTGGCAAAGCTTCAGGAATGGTGCTTATAGTCTGAAATGTTTTTTAAAGCTTTCTTCCTTGAGATCAACTGACAAGGCAAACAGCATTGAAAATGAAGGAATCACTTTATTGGGTTTTAAATCTTTGCTTTTCAGTACCTTATGTCCTTGTGCTGCCAGCAACATCCCCAGTATAGAGGTGTTTTAGTGAGTACTATATGTGACAGAATCATAAAATTGCAGTGTTAAGTACATATTGAACAAACGGCTACCATAGTTTCTTCTTCATGACATTTGGAACAAAAGTGATCCATAGTGTGTTTCCTGAGTACTTCAGTGTAAAAATAGGTGGTACAGGTCAGCCTTTAAATTACAATTGTCTTTGTCGTACGTGCTCCCCACACCCCATTGTTTCTGCTGTTAGATACGAGGTGGTCTATCCCTCAATCTAGAAATCCCAGTTTCAGATGGCAGGTGAGTATCAGTGGGATGGGGAGAGCTCATTGCTTTGGGGCATTCCTGGAAAAGGAGCAAAGCTAGGGGAAGTGTGGTGAGAGAGAGTGGAAGTACGCAGGGTGATGTGAGAAATGCGCAAGATTTTGTTTCCTAGATCCTTTGGCATCTCCTTATTTGGCAGAAAGAACACTGGCAGCCACTGATGTAGGTACTGCAAATAATAAGGCTGGTTCCTGATCTTTGTTTAGAAATCACTGCTTCAGCCAGTTTCTATGTGGATTTTTACTCTTAACGATAGTTTAAATTCACACTTCCAAGGTCCATTGAAGAATATTCAGAATAGGTATGATGAGTTTGACTGCTTCTTAAAAATACATCAGGCTCATCATAAGAGCTTTTGCAAAACCCACAAAAAAACCAAAACCCTTCATATATCTTCAACACTGAATTGTTTTTGGTAACAGGAAATAAACTCAAAACAAAAAAACCTGCTTATATTTGTATAATCCACTTCCAAGGTCCATTGAAGAATATTCAGAATAGGTATGATGAGTTTGACTGCTTCTTAAAAATACATCAGGCTCATCATAAGAGCTTTTGCAAAACCCACAAAAAAACCAAAACCCTTCATATATCTTCAACACTGAATTGTTTTTGGTAACAGGAAATAAACTCAAAACAAAAAAACCTGCTTATATTTGCTTAATCCTGGATAATTTTAGCCTCTCCTAAAAGTTAATCGTAATGCTTACATTCTGTGCCCTAGTTTTCTCCTGCTACATAGGAAAAACAACTCTCTGACAAAATAAGGGTTTTTCTTTAGCTATCCTGCTTCTGTTTTCATGCTTGTGCTTGATTATGTCAACAGCTTCGCACAAGAAACGTAATTGAGAAGCTCATTAGGAAGCTCTGTATCTGTTACGGGGACGGGACAAGGACCTTCATTATCAGCTCTCCCAGCCTGGAGGGGATTCAGATGGATCCTCCTCCTGAATCACATTTCTTCCTTCTAGGAGGTTCTGTTCCAAAAGCAGACTGGTTTAGCTAAGGGTTGCACCCAGTTAGGAGCCATGTGGTATTTCTCTTCTCTTGAATGATGTTTAAAAAAAAAAAAAGTAGGAGCTTGGTTTAGCTGAGGAATTTTCCACGAAGGTAGATGACAGTTTGAAACACGTCAGGTAAGTTAGGAGCTTGGTTTAGCTGAGGAATTTTCCATGAAGGTAGATGACAGTTTGAAACATGTCAGGTAAGTGAATTTTGTGCAAGGTTTCTGAAGGCCATGTTCCTGATGGAGGGCTGGAGTTTGTCCACAGGGATAGTATTTTTTTCTTTTTTTCTTTGTCCACAGGGATAGTATTTTTTTCTTTCTTCATTTTTTTTTTTTTTTTGCTTATAACTGCTCTGCATCTCCATTAGGTAAACCATGAACAAACTCACTTTT